GCCCATGTATCAGGATCCGCGTGCCGATGAAAAAGGTTTTTTCAAGGGACTTAAGGAAAAGGTGACGTCAAAATATAGCAAGTCAGACAAACCTACATTCGGGAGTGGCCCCCCGGGATCGGCTAACCCGCCAGAGGGGTGGAGTTTTGCTACTAATCGTGGACCGACCGGTGGGAACTACGGTCCAACTCCTGCAGCGTACAATCCCGAGGAACCGTATCGGCCGACTGGATTTGCTGGAGGAGGTTATCGTCCTGGTAGTTACGGACCAGACCCGCGGGAATCGGCTAGCTCGCAGCTTCGGGAGAAATCATACGGTACGTGATCTAGTTGGAATACTATATTCACTTGGACTCTGCTATTCTGACGCCAACAACTTGCAATCTAGATGGTGACCGTAAAAAAGGCCGTGTGGGCGGCGCGTGGAGTGATGCAGACGTGCCATCGACTGGGAGTTCATCAGGAATGCCGCAGGGCGGCAGTCATGAGAGCCGCGCTCAAAGTTTTAGTGGTAACTCGCGTGACTCACGGTCCTACCCGCGCAATTCAGATTATGACTACGATGACAACAAGCGCTCGGAGACTTCTCAGGTTCCTAGACCTTTTCCACAATCTTCTGTTCATGTTGGCCAGACCTCAGGGGCACAGTCGGATGGCTCTTACGAACGTAATCTGGTGACGGCGTTGTGTGCCCCTGGCGGCATGCGTGCGGTTCCTCCGAAAGATAAGATGGACGCCTTTTTAAAAAGTGCAATTACATTGGATGCTGAAATTGTTGGACCGATCCTGGAAGACTGCCTGTTGGACGACCAGTGGACGGTTGTGTCAAAGGCACTAGCTACAATCGACGCGCTACTCAAGTCGGACGGGTGCGAAGAGTTTGAAGACTACTTCAGTGAGAACTTCCATGAGATCGAGTCTTGCGCTAAATCAGAAAAATCAGCCGTGCGTGATCGTGCTGTAAAGGTGCTTAACCACCTTGGTATTTCAGGTAGCTTTGGCGAAAACATGTCTAGCCGTGACACGACTAAGAAGAGCAAGCCATCCAATCACACGAAGCAGCCAGCTGAAGGAGAAGCTGATCTTTTAGGAGGGTTTGACGAGTCATCTCCCGCAAACGCCAATGACTCCCTCTTTTCGGGATTACAGACATCAGCTCCTTCCCAGCAAATTGCACAGGAACCGTCACGGCCTGCTTCATCAGCACACGACGTAACGGATATGTTTGGTGGATTGCAGCTTCAAAGTAGTACTGCGAGTACTGCTTCAGTCCCTGAACCGTCTCAACCGGCTGCTTCTGCTCCTTCTACTATTTCTGCAGCTCCCCCCACCGCCCCTGCTCCTGCGCCATCAGCGAACAAATCGATCGTTTTGGATCCGCTCCTTGAACCTGTACCGGCCGCGCCTGTGATGAATCAGGGCTTTGTGCCCCCAATGAATATGAACATGAACATGAACATGATGAATTTTAGCACGCCACAGCAAATGGCACAGATGCAGCAAATGCAGCAGATGCAGTACATGCAACAAATGCAGCAAATGCAACAGATGCAACAGATGCAGTACATGCAGCAAATGCAACAAATGCAAGGCATGGGTGGGAATCCAGGTTCCCAGGTGATTGGAGCCGCGATGACACCAACAGGCTATATTGCTAAGACAATTCAGGAGCCAACAGAAGGCCTTGCGTCTGATTCGGGTTTTGGTTTCATGAAGAAACAGGATGATTCGTTTAATTTCGTGAAGGACGCGATGAAAAACAGTTAAGCGACGACTTTGTGTATAGTACTCCTTGAATGGGAGCGAATCCACGTCGTAGGAAAATGAAGCAATACTTGGCTACTCGAACATGCAGTATCAGACTGCCAACGTAGATGAATAAAAAGCAGGAGAGAAAGTGTCTGAGCTGTGTGTGCGCTATGCACTTAACATTCAACTCTTTCATTTGCACTAATTGTCTCAAATTGTTGCTCGTGGAACTGCATTAGCCTGTGCATAATGACGTCGACAGCTTTATCCACCCAACGGACTACCGCGATATGCTGGTCGTCACAATAACGATCTAGCGATTCAATCAGCTAGCATTTGATGAGATTCACCCTACAAGCCTCACCTTAATAGAAGCGTACGTCTTACCTGGTCAACCACCATTGATGGCTCTCCGTTTTTGGTAAAACACATGTGCTCAATCACTTGGCAACGAGTCAGTCGATCGACAGTACATTAGTTGGTCATTCATTACCTTGTGTACATATCTCCGTGTCTTGCTCTTGTACTAGCACCTCCATGAACAAGCTTATCATATGAGCATTCTCTGTAATAAACTCTCGAAGTTCATCAACGCCTTTTGACCAGTCTTCAATGCGCTGTTCCGATAATAGCCACCTTAAATTCGAAATATGAGTCGTCAACACCTCTGAGACGTCCATGTCAACGCTCAAATGTGCTTCTTCTTCAACAACGAGACTCTTTTCATAAGAACTTAAGGGCCACGACGATCGGTAGAAAGACTGATGTGATTGATGGTTACCACCCGTCTTCATAAAATACGTAGCCAAGGCAAAGCGAATAACCGCGCTGGTCATTTCCATGTTGCAGTTAGGAAACACAGCTAACAAATTGTGTACACTCAAATTCAGGGAATGTCGATGTACTTAGAATATGTGTGTACACAAAAGCCACAAAAATTTCCTAAAGTTTCCTTCAAAACAATAGTGTATGGCGAAGAGAACGCCCACTGGGACGGTGTCGTCTGGCAAAGCCGGTCGAAAAAGCGGCCACGCGCAGCAAGCGATGGACCCGCTTCTTGATCTGCTCGATGATAGTCTCCCTTTGTTAGCCATGGAATGGAACACTATCCCTAGGAAGTACAAATTCAGATAACCCAGTTTTAAACGAACCCTTTTTCGCTAAGAGTGAATCCTTTTCAATTGCCGCTGGCGGCGGAAAAAAGGAGGAAATAATGACAGTTGAAGTGTCTCTGAGGTAATTTGTTGTTTTAACTTTGGATTGGAAATCCGTGTGCACGGGTGAATTCGAGCAAAACCACATCAAAACCATGCAGAGTCTTTTTGGTTTTCATGGTGGTTGATAAAACAAGTAATTTGCTCACAAGGACTCGTTAAGTCGTTAAGTATAACCCTCTTCTGCGAGGTGAATTCACTGATTCGCACTTGACGTCAATTCGACAACAATGTCTGAACGAACGATAGCTTTTGGGAGTTTCGAAGTTCAGCTATCTTTCCTATAGACAACTCGACACACTCAGTAAGATAATGTTTTTTAACGTTTCGAAAAGGAACAGGGTACTTGCGAACAGGTTACACTACGCTTTTTTTGTAGCTGTGAAGAACTTAAGACTAATGAAGACGATGAGACTCCGTGCAGGAGAGGTCTCCGGAAAGAGTGGGCTGTCAGCTCCACGTTAAAAAAAAGATACTTCTATTACTGAACATAATCAAATATTTATTTCACTAGTGATTTATTTTTTTTCGTAGTTTTATGTCCGTTTAAGACAAAAGAGCAGACCAGGTTCTTAGTTTCTCTGGAGGCTCTTGGTTCCGCTACTAGATAGAGCGTATAATCCGAATTCATGTGCGTTCTTATGCGGACTCTTTGACTTACAGTTTCCCAGTACAAGCTGCTCGGAAACTTCGTCACACTTGGGAGCTTTTGCAGAAGATTTGACGACCGAGTTGTGAAAAGACTGTATCCTCTGGATAATGGAATATGGGCGGTTTGTTTGCCTGTCATTTGGATAGCGATACACGCTTGGTTAGACGCTGACTGTCGCTGTGTCCGAGGACATCAGAAAAGTGGTGACCCAAGAGCCAGAAGCGGTACTCGCTTGTCTAAAGGCATTCACTACATTTGTCAATGCACTGACGAGATACCCCCAGTCACACCCCAACCAGATGTCGGTTGCAGCAAAAGTGAACCCACCGTGAGACCGCTGATGTTGAGCATGTGCTTACCTATCGATCCATGCCCTACCAGCAAATACATTGCGCATACTTTTTCCTGCGTCATCTCTCAACAAATTTGATTTTCGAGAGAAATACAGTATGCTGCATACACAACGCTGTGTTTAAGGTCTTCATAATGACATTGTATCACGCAATGTGTATCTGAAGAGGGCGTGCTGTAATACAGCACGTCTTGGGACAATTAATAGCGTATATTAACGCGCTTTAAAATGCTGGGATAAAGCGATATTCGCGTTTAATACCGCCTGTAACGGACCAGGTATTTACACCATTACTTACGTATACTAAAGTGTTGAAGGTGCTCGCGATAGAGCAAAGTTTTGGGGATAATATAACAATAACTTTGACATTATTTCAGGACTAGGGCAAAACCCTGGCCGCTCAAATACATGTCATCAACTGTTTGGCTAATAATGGGTCTGGCTCCTCATACATCAGCGAATAGGATGATAGCAATATAGCGCACGCTAATCGTGCGCTGATGCACTACATGTATAAAACAATCTACCTGCTCATGTAACGGAATGGCCTATTACACCGCCTTGTTTCCCATAATTGTCAGCAGTACGACACATGCTGTGTCTGGCCTGTACGTCATATATTTTGTATTTGCAATGTTTGATATCACCAATATGACATATGAAACGCTTTGTCTGGACAAATCAAAATTACGACGACCACAACGTGGTCTCTACCGCACGAATAAACCGATTGCTATTGGGTAATAAATAATCTTAACTTCCTCTGAAGCGATATAGCGATGCTGTCGCTGTGCGAAATCACGCTTGATTTGTATATATCCAATCAAGTTCCCTGAATTTGACAAAGCCATAATACTTTCTTCGACAAAATCATGAACTTATATATTCTTATATATTTTTCCTAATAACGGGCACCAATCAAATCGCGATAACACGTCTATGCCAATTGATATCCGATTGGAACAAAATTGATGATATGGCAAGGATCAAAGCGTCACGGGTGACGTGTAATAACTCGTCTGGATCGGATTGATCTAAGACAAAGGCACGTATTAGGCTTGTTTGGCAGGTTGGCAAAGGCCTATTCTGTCGTGCCCCAACACCATCTATTGTTCATTGTGGAGGGACAAGTGATGATTGTGCCATGTTAACATAATATGCACTATACGTGCGCAAACAGTTGGATCGGTTGCAATGCACAATGTATTTGCATGCATCTGACTCTGATCCTCACAAAGTTTGTGCCAAGCAGTTTCTGAAAATCTGGTTAAGTTAGCGGGACTAGCCAAACTACTATGCCCTTGATCTTCGCGGGATATACAACGCTCCTCAATGAAGCATGTCAGAAATAGAGCATTGTTTGTGCCAGAAACTTACCCGACTGTATCAGCAGAAGGTAATGTAAGCCCATGAGCTTGACCACAACCTTTAAGCGTTTAGTTTCGATGCTCCCATCTGATTTCTACTGTTCTAAACGACCAAAAATTAATTTCTGTCAAATAATTTTCTGACACATGCTCAATGTGAGTAATCAGTTACGTCATTAGACGGAAAAACATTGCTGGTGCATTAGCGGTCCCTTGAAGCAAAACCAACCACTCCCAGATCATCTTGCCTGGAGTAATTACAGTATCAAAAAAATGCTCGCAGCCATGAGCAGTTGTTGATACCCATCGACTCTGTACAGAGTCCAACCGAGCTTGCTCTTCACAAGAACTTAAGGATTAGGCTTCTGCGCTGAAATCGCTAGGTAATATAGCCTCTATATGCGTACATAGTTCGCCATTTGCCACTCACGTTTCCGGCACATAAAGTCTACGTCGCATGAGAAGATATTCTTTCTCACCATACATTCTTGTTGTGAGCTTCGCACGCATGAAAAAGTATCTTGGTTTCTTGGTATGGGCTACCGAAGCTTGACAAATAGCTAGGTGTTATAAAAAAGAATCATGTTGACCCTTTGGTAGGAGCGCAACACCAGTGGCATGACAGTTGTCCCCACGACGTGATATTTTTTAAAGATGTAGAAAATTTCCAGTATTTTAATAACAACCAGCAGCCCTCTTTTTGCTATTTAGAATGAGCACCATAATGTATCTGATAATGATAACTGGTGGGTCAAGCTTCTCGTCCAGTGCTGATTGTACCTACCAGGCGATCTAACCTTTGTGTATTTTTTGTATACACCTCCTTGCATTTAGTTTTGAAGCTCAATGATAGCTTCTACTTGGGGAAAAGCTTGACTCCGATTTATTAATTTTCGACCGAAAAATTCGCACAAATTATTGGGGCATAAATGATCTGCACAATGGACACGTCACTATGTGGTGCTGTCTCAGCGGTACCGATAAACGAACGCTTAATCACGTATCATTGATTCGGACTGTAAATTTGCGCAAGGCTCCTATAGATATCCCTACCAGCTTTTAGGGGGAGCTAAATGTCGTGCATTAAAGTTGTCATGGCTTTGTGCTCGCGTCAAAAACGCTACCATCTTCTGAAAAATCTTGGTAAATGACTAAGAAGCACATTGCTATGGAGAAATGCGCAAATTATAGTGCATCCAGATACTGACGCATATATGACTCAGTATGTTTTGGCTAGGTTATATGGAGGCCGAGATTATGTCATAAATCTGAGTCTAAGTACTTTGTAATAGTCGTTGACCATTGTAGGGAATTCATAAAAATTCCAAATATCATAACGAGAGCAGTCTCGTGAGGCGCGCAGATACGATATCAATATTCGGCAGAAAAAAACTCTCTGTCCCGTTTGGCTGTTTCAATGTCTATGTGTGCCGTTAGAGTGTACACTTTCCCTTAATTCATTTTGACATCTCGTGGCTTCATAAAACGCTGATATTTATTTTGATATTTCGCAAATTGAAGATATAAACCCCAGTTCTCCTAGGGAGCGTCACACTTTTCTACACTGCATCAAGCTGATCTCAGTCTCAACGACGCACGATAAATCTGGCTTTGTTCTCGGTAGACGTTTTTCGTCATATAGGATTCGACCATTCCCAAAGTGTCATCGTTGAAGCTCTACACTTCATGCCCTTCGACCGAGATAAAAACGGAGTGCACGGCATAAAAATTTGACTGTTCTATTTGCCAATATCATGGCATTGCCCGGCTGCAAAGCCTGGCGAGGCCCGTTGATATTGATGAGCGCCTCTTCCTCTCGCCCAAAATATCGACCCTAACATCTCGGACGTTGTGCTCCGCTTTAAACGCAACGATTTTTGCATCCAGCATATTTAGATTAATGCAAAACAACTTGGAGCGAGCTGCTTCTGTTACAATCCCAAAAATATGAATATATAGTTCTTTGCCATTTGTGGATTAAAATCCGCAGTCAATTCTGAATTTGTGGTTCCAACTCCTGAACATAGATCACAATTTCTCTTTCTTCCTACCGCTTTGATATTATAACCTTGATCACACGCGATAGACCTGACAAGCTGGTGCGAATACTTGTGACATCCATCCCTTGAAAAATTTTCGGATTAAAATGGCCACTCCAAAATCGTCCACTCGTGCCCATTATCGTGCTCGACCTCAAAGCCTGAAGATACGCTTCTTTTCTTGACCGGATTTGAGGCTCAGCAAACGTGGAAATACTCTGTTAATTTATGTGAGAGATGTTGCTCCGACTGAAATTCGATCAAAATGCTCCGAGGTGTCTTGCCAACATGTCTGTATAACTGGTGAGTGTTTCCAAGCAAAAGGTAACCGCTTTGGTCGTTTTTGGGCTACCATGCGCGTAAAAATTATTGTGATCGATTCGAATAATTTCGAGGCCATAAATTTAAAAGTTCCATGCTCTAACTTCACGTGTATACAGTCTTATTTCGTTTTGACTGCCGCATTAACGATAAGTGCAACGAGGTGTAATGAGGTTGCCGCGCACCTTGCACAGATATGTTTCACTTCCGACCCCCACGCCAGTAAGTTATCAAGATATAAACTCATCGCTCCTCTGAGAGCCAAAATGAAACCCGTCCAGACACGATGTTCTTATCCGTGTTTAAATTTACGGGCTTTTTCCCCGCTGAAAGGATACTATATCTATCTCAAGAACAACGAGGCCGACTTGGTATCTTCACGTCTGTCGTATATGTTCACTATTGATGAAAAATGACCAAGTAGCCCACGGATCTCTACTGTTCGGATGTCAACATGTGCCGCGTACTCAGCATGTAATCCTTCACCTTGGTACTTTTGAGGTCAATAATTTTATTATGTACGTACGCCAGAAAAGAGTACGTCCTTCTTTGATATACTATCAGAGAAATAGTCAAATACATAGAGTAAATAATCAGACCACTTAATTAAAGCTATTGTACAATGTAGTTGTAAGAAATAAGCGGCACTTCGGTCAAGAAGTCGTTACACCGTGTGTGAGCCCTTCGATTAGCGTCTACACAAGCTGAATGTACCAGCAACAGATATGCCGTGCACTTTATATAAATAGACCACGAATCAAGAGCCCACACGAACAAGTACACAAGGATAAAATTTGTACGCTTTAGCAGCGAGAGTATATAAGAGCCTCCAAAATAGCTGAGCCCTTCATTAGCTCTCCCATTTTAAGAGTGACATATGTTACGATTTGATTGAATTTTGACTAATATTCGATACATACTCTTTACTGAATTATACGATGAAACTGTTTCTAGTACTTGGCGTACGGCTAGCAGCCCACAAGTATCCAGACCTCTCCTTCTTGAAGTCCCGTCGAATCACGAGTTTTTCGCTCTAATCAATACCCACACTTACTCAGTAATCAAATGATAATTCCATACATCAGTTCATTTTTGTTTATTAGTCTCATTAACATATTTTTTGATTTGTTTTGGGCTCTACATAGTAATGACTAATCTACATAAGAGGCACTGATCCCGCTTCTGAATGGAATGCACTAATCCTAACACTGTTCATTTGTTAGTGCGGACACTTTGAGATGAAGCTTTCCCTGTGCAAATCGTGACACTAATGAGTCTTTTCACGGCAAGTCGTGAAAGGACTGTGTTTTCGGTGAATATGGAACACGAGATATTGATATGCCTGTCCCTGGAAGAGATATACTCGCAAACAAAGCCGATGACTTCTGTTGGTCTCGATTGATTCGATGCACTAGCAACCAAAGGCCTGAAAGCTTTCAAGGCCCCACGATGACTCGTTCGGAGAAGCAAGCGCTTGTCGAACGACTAAACCACGCGTTGATGAGTCAATCCTTTTTTGCAATTCTGAGCATAATTCAGGCACGAGAAGCAGAAATTAAGGCAGCAAAAATGACACAAACCGACAATCCCACATGCGGTAATAACTCGCTTGTAGGTGCTCGTTGGCCATAAGAGCAAGCGTCTAGGAACGACCTAACTGGGTGCCGGTGGGGAGCTGATAACACTCACCGGAAGGCCGCCAATGTACGATTCCAGCCCTTTCTAGGGCCATGGTATACACTATCTACATAGTAACTAGAGATACATCAATTTGTCGATACCTTGGTGGAGCAACAACGAGTCTTAGCGTGCAGCATTTTTCCAAAAGACACGTTTCCATATGAGCTAAAAGTATGTTGCAGGCGTTTGCACCATCTAACGACGCTTTCGAGCTCAGTAAGGGAGACTATCGCCGCAAAATAGCTTCGCACCCCTCTCGGAAAACGTAACAGCGACCACAGCCATGGAGGGCTTTAAGTGAAAACTTGGACCGAAGCTTTCCGTGGCCACCTTATTCATTCTGAAAAGCGATGAATATCGAAGTGAGTGCAGAGTGCAATGATCGGATAGAGTGATGAAAGTAGAGTATCTATAAAGTCACCAAGGTCGATGGACCTCGGCCACGCTGCGTAGGAAGTTAATGATCTCCTAGCTGCTGAGCACCCACGAATGCTGATCGGTGGGAGTATTAAAAGTGTTACCATGCGTTGATAAGGTCTTCCGGCGACTCTCTGTGAAATTAATTCCGAGCACCGGGAGATACACATAATCTAATGTACTCCACTCATGCTGTGGTCGATGGGATCCGAACCTATAAGAAACGACGTTTCTGGGAATGGTGATGCCTACACCCCAGGGTCATCTATTCCAGATATCAATGTTCCTGGCTTGAAAACCGTTTAGATGTCCTGGTTAATTCAAAGGTGCTGTGCCATCATGTGCGACGCGCGACAGTCAAAAGCAGTAGATTGTGTTCAAGGGAGTCCACGAACCCGAATTTGAAACCGATATAATTCCTGAGGGTATCGCAACTCATTCGTATGGAAATGTGTAAATCTGATCAATGTGTAAATTCTCATACGCGATGACGATAGTCATGATCTAGACAGCTGCTTTTTCCATTTTGCCGCGGATGTTACAGGTATCAAATCAAAAAGTGATTAATGTTTTGCCTCACCCGTATCCAAGAATGCAATACAAGCAAATTGAGGCCGTCTCAATTTCGACAGTCGGGTCGGCTTATTGAGCGAAGCCGGCTCAAAATACACTCGCTTGACACATTGGCAGATCACCCGCGTAGATACACTTTCAGAGACTGAGAGATCAAGTTGAAAGTCTTTTTATAACCTGAATGCCTCCCGAAAGCTCTTTATTCGTAACCTGGTCCTTATTACGCTACTATTATCTCTGAATAGTGAATAGTTTGATAATTCTTGTGTCAGCAACAGAGACTGGCCACAGCTTCGTGACATATCTATATAATATGAGAAGCTAATCATTTCAACAGGGCAATTATATTATGTATACTCGCAACTTGGCTATGGCCGTAGTCGGTGCATGTGACAGCATTAAGTATAGAATTGTAGCTTAAATGTTCTATTTTCATTTCCATCTTCGTATTATGTGTAGGCTGAGAGCTGCCGCTCAACCATTTTGATTAGTGTTGTAGATGTATGGCATTTTGCAAGACTGCGCGATCTGTATAGAATCCGAAGAGAGGTGCTCTTTGCCAAAATATTGTCCAGCTACTTGCTTGCAATTCGTCCATCACGATGCAGAGCTGCTTGGCTGACGGCATGATCCAGAGCGCCACGCATGATGTTGATAGTTGTATCTTCTAGAGTTACTGGGACTAGTGCCCATCCAACGCAAAAAGCATCAAGGTGGATTAGCTTCTGGTGCCATACCACCTCGCTCGTGGTTGAGGTATCGGATCTTCGCATATCAGCATTCTGACTGTGCATATAACCTTTTTTCACATCTAGCCACTTCCAAGTACCGCATGATTAACATCTTTACCGTAGGTATTAAAGCACACGTAATGTTCGCGCAGTAGTCGAGTAATGTCTTGATAAGTCTTACGTCAAACCGTAAATTTCGATGATGATTTAGAGCTTTGTTGCACCCTAATTTTGAACAAATGATAGAGGAGATTGAAATGTGTTTTCAGGCCGGCTGAATGTCACGATCTGTCTTGTTATGATCGAACATGTTGTCGAAGTACGTTTGCATGCATCCACACAAGAGTTGAAGTAGATACGTGCTAAAGCAGTTATTGTCCAAGTAAAACAAATGGATTCTCTATCATACCCCCAGGGGACCGTAACCGTTGCTCGCAAAATTTGTTTCCCCTTCGAAAACGGTAGTTGATGTACCGATTCTGTGCCGGCATGAACTAGTGCCACCTTCTGTTAAAAATGCAAGCGCTAAAACTTGGCGACGACACAAATAAGTGATTGTCTGTGGAAAAGGTTTGAATCAGCTTGCACTGCGCGGGTGGTGGTTGGCATTACCTCGTGACATATTGATCCACAAAAGATGCAGTATCAGTACCATTCATTGGTCTGGAGATAATTTCTTTACTATATTGCTGAAAAGTATGCTGCGCTATTTAATTTGGAAATATCGGATAAAATTCGTGGGGCACAATGCATCATGTGCTATACTTAAACTGTTTTTTTGCACTGGGTCGTGGTGCACTGTGCACGATTCGGGCTCAGACTTTAGAAGACCGCGCTTGCAAAACCCCCAGAGTTTAACCGAGAGGCTATATCGTACAAAATGTATTATTAGATTTGTTATTTCGGAGGTACATACACTTAGTACTAATACAACGAAGCCTTAAGCTTAATATATGCATGTAGTATCACTATTAAGATGAATGATGTCGTTATTCTCGACGTGCGACTAGCAGTCCACGTGTACTACGCCCCCCCCAGTCGGATTTTCCTGTATACCGACATTTCCTTACTCTTATATGATCACAATTATACCAGAGTGCAAAGCGAAATGCGAACGAATGTAACCTATCGTATTTGATACAAACGTACCAAATGTGTAAGGTTTAAGATCAAAAGAATACAGCACTCGCCTTGTTACATCCTTCCTGGCGAACAAAGCTGCGCCTTGTATTCTACCCTGCTCTCTGTACTTTACCACGTCTGCTACTCTGGGTGTACTGGCATCGGAAGTCCGCTCCTGTGCAGTAACTCAAAGAATCAACCGACCTTCGCCTTAAAGCGCAGACTTCGTGACCGACGCGTTTTCTAGAATTCTTGGTAACGCTTCAAGGTGTTCTCTGATGAGAACGATCCCAATGACACCTCGATTCCCGTAATACGTGTCCGCTCTTACAAGGCGATGCCTGGCCTAGCTTTTCTTCAAACGAGGAAAATATCACTGCGTACAGCGTCGACGATGCACAAGTCTCAGACTCCGTGTTCTAATTTCATCAGAGTGAAGTATATCATCGTCTCATCCTCACTTAGTAACGAAAAACTGGGTTTGACTCAAGATTCACAGTTAATTTACTGCAAGCACGAGAGTCGCATAAAGCCTTTTCCGGAACACGTCGTAAATAGAATTTTTAGGATTGCCGTTCTCGCTAGTGCAGAGCTTCTACATGCCGACCATCCGCTCACAATGGAAGCAGAACGAGTGCGAAAGGTTGCTCCGCGAGTGCTTTATCAACACAGAGACCGTCACTTCCAGGAGTACTGTCTGCGTCTGGAGCAGCAGAGGCTAGAATCTGTGTCCTCTATGAGAGAAAAACATCAGGTATGCAAAATTCTGGCTACATTTTGCTCGATTCTTCAATCTAGAGTATGGTTATACTCAACAGGTCGCGATACACCAATTTTCTTTTCAATGCGGTTGATCACCCGATCGGGGCCCCTGGGAGTGGCTAGTAATGCCACAGAGACCGTTTTATACATTAGCCACCCTCAATCGTGTGTTGGCCCAGCCGTTCTAAACATATTGCGGCTAGGCACAGACCTATATCGATTTCGACAATATATTTATCCACACTGGCGCAGAGCTTTGGAGGTCAGTGTGGAACACCACAATGAACAGCTACGAGCGATGCTCGAGTGTCCAATGGAAGCTATTTGTCAATACAGACAAGTGTGTCTTTGGTCGACTATTCTTGGTTTGGTAGAAAGCAGAGCCTTTGAGCAGATCGTGCAAAAAAACCATTGGAGATTGGCATGTGCCTCTGTCCCACAACAGCTTGATGAGACGGGTGGCTACTTACACAGGTGCAGTGCAAACTATGCCGACATGGTACGACCCTAAATAACCGTATGGGAAGGAAGCTAAGCGGTGTCGGGTTGCGGTGAAATCGGTGCAGCTCGCCGGCTGGCTCTCCCGTTGTCTGCAGACCCACAACTAGCTTGTAAAACTAGATTTTCTGTTATGCTCATATCAATTTTCATCTCGAAGGCGTTATATTGACGCGTCACTGTCTTTCGATTGATCAGTGTCGTGCAATTGTAAAAATCACGCAGCATTTCCCTTGCCTCCATGGCGCACTTGGCCGACCGTATTTTGGTCGCATGTTGATTCTGAACGCCGTTTGCAATGATACCCGATGCCTTGACGTGATTCACAAGCCACGTCTCTATGATATCATTCTCATCCTTAACGGCCATGACATGCCGCAGAAGACCCCATAGTATCCTCATATTGAACTCCCAATGGTATTTGTTACCACCGCCCAGGAGAGCATTGGGTGCGCTTATTTGCCATCATGAACACGAACGTTATACTATAGGCTGGCTTGTTTGCGCTTTTAATCGGTTATTTTGGTCTTAAATCCTATATGAAAAAAGTTTGTTATGCTTTGATGTCTTTCTCGTCCTGGCATTGCTATATCTATACCTATGTATTCTGTCACAATGATGGACAATCCGGTGTGTAAAGGACGGGGTATGGAGACACTGGCTAGTCAATTCTGAACACCATGTAAGTAAACTTTGTCTTTTGAGAGATTTGGACACTCAATCATGCAGTGTAGCCACGTCACCTACACCACTAGGCTGATCTGAGTTCGTTTCTGTACGAATAAAAATGTAAGCATTTATAGAGAAAATTGACATATAGCTGCTATTTCGTTCTTAACAGTATTGAGCGGCATCGTCTGAGCACATATAGTATTATGTTACTTGAAGCAAATCTGTGGTCACTGTGTCTCTAAAGTGCCTCAAGGTTTCAGCTGATTACCCTCATACTCTACGACTTTGCACCCGCGGTGTTGACGTCTCATTAAATTTGCACAACTATTGTGGTGGGATTCGAATTCAATATTGGTGTACAATTTTACTTTTCGACATTAAGTATAGTAAAATGCCATAATGCAGTTTAGTTGGTACGAGATGAGAGTGATAGCTTTTTAATCGGAGAGTTCATACGACAAGATGGCTGCTAGCGTAACACCATACGTTGATAGAGTTTTATCCTGCAAGACAGATATGATGTCACTTTAGGCTGAACAAAGAAGACTATTAGATGGGCGGTGGCGGGTGAGTCCATTCTTATCTGTGTTATTTAACGTGAGCTCCATAATTAAAGTCTCCGGTTGTGGCAAGTGCACGGTAACCTCGTTGCATCCACCCCCTACTCAGCGATCTGTTGAGTAGAGATTTCGGAGAATAAACTTCCTCGATTAATTATCAATCTCTAAATCTGCGCGTATCCATTATCTTGAGCACAGCTCTAGCACCACGCGCCCCACAATATAGCGGTCCAACTTCATGATTTACTGTAGTGGACCACACTGTATTTACAAAAGAGCCCTCAAACGTAAATTTTTATTTTTTACATGGTGTTAAGAAATGCATTTTTTGTGTGCCATCCACAATTTTTAAGAGAACCTGAATTCCTCTGCTAGTTCGTTCGAGCTTTTCGTAATTTCTACATCCCATTTATGGTGTGTTTCGACGCTCATGGAAAAAGAATGATGCTGTGCTAGGCTATTATGGAATGACTCTGCCATTTTCTCGGATGAGATAAGAGGCGACATATCTCCTTCATTTATTTTGACGCCTAATCTTAAAAACAATTCAATTAAGGCTACTATGTTTTCTACCGAGCTCGATGATGTGGATCCGGATTTTAAAGATTGCGAAGCCTCGTTAAAAGAGTGAGATAAATAGTCTTAAGCACTTGTATCAAGGGCAAATACATTAAATTCTATATTGTATTCTTTTTGAAACTCCAACTGGCGTCCACGAGACCTTCCCCGGCTTCCTCAATGTTGCTCTGTTGCAATAAGCAATCAGCACTTGTCGCGTCGATCGTGCTACGTGGAAAGCCTTCGAGAACTCGAACCGGTTGTACCTTTGATCCTGCCCCTGGTGTTGGTGCCATTCGTCCTGGTGGTCCGAACATCACACGTTGAAGGTGGAAGTGGGCGTTTCGGGAGGATGGCCCCATTTGGGTAGAAAAGCCGATCAATAGTGGAAGCTCTTGACGTCGAAATATTCTATGTATTCGCCTACCACAAGCGCTGCGAATTCATCAGATTAAACTCTACACGGTGGAATATCGCACGAATCCTCTCCCGCAAATAATCCGATTAAAGAAACTTCAAACTCGCGCTGTCTCTTAGGCCTCGTTTGTCGTCGTCGCAATCCCCCATGCTTCCCTCGTCTCAACGTCGTGTTCGATTTATTTCCGCTCGTAGAGAGGTTAATTCAGGAAGTTCATTGAGTTCGTATAAGATTCTCGATTAAAGTTCCAGGATGATCAGTCGATCTGCATACTTAAAAAGATCTGACTGCTGACACGAAAAGGGCTTTTTTGATATTATAGCCTTTTAAAATTCCATCATGAAAATGTCAACGATGTGTTGACAAAACATTCAGAATATACAAACCAGTCATGAAGGCTGGCTTTATCGTTTGTATTGCATTCTGCCGTAGCTGTAAAACGAAGAAGAAAGTGGGTTTGACATCGTGCAAAGCTGCTATCTCGCGAACGACCAAATAGTGAAGCACTTCACGAAGATATAGCTAAAAAATGCATGAAAATCGCTCCGTACATGACTACAATCTTGGCCTGATTACATCACGAGCTAAAGCGTTCTTGATGCAATACCATCCGCTAAGTGCAATTTCATTTGATGCAGCTACTCAGTACATCGAAGAAATATACTTATAGATCGAGGCTAATGTGTCAGGTTATATATTTTCACATATATTTTCACATGATCAAACTGTGGTCCCTTTTGCGACGGCGCGAATTGAAAGAAAATAGCAATTGGATTCAGGATCCATGTCGTGCTCGAGAATGGCTGAGTAAAAGTGGTTATGTTTACTGATTTACAGCTAGTTGAGAGAAGCATTCTAGGTGAGAACTTCAGAGTTCATCTTTCTCCTATTCACGAATTCAGAGAATATTTTCGACGCCATCGAATTCGATCCAAACACAGGACCATCTTTGTATGGAGCCGACTTCTATCTTCACCGTGTGGTATTCGAATCTCTTCAATCCAAGTCGACGGCGCCAATACTAGAAGCAAGACTAGCTACAATTGGGCTCTTGTTTGTAAAAGTTTTTCACGTAGCAAAATTCACACGATTCCAAGTGCTGATTACTATCTCCATTCGCAGTCAACACAGCAATGTCTAGGAGACGGGAGAAGGCTCTATAGACGCCAGATGGAGTTCAAATTTACCATGTTCGAATGCCATTGCCTTTGATACAAGTGATTCTGAGACTTAACGTTACTCTCCCAGACTCTCAGCGAGATTTTGCAAACCTCGAACTCGGATTCGCGTCATTGTGCTCGGTAGGAAACAAGATAGTTTCAGCTTTTTTCCATTCAGCTTTTTGATGATACGGTTTGTCTGCTGTGCCGTCATTTCTCGGTATAGATCAACATTTCCCTCCTGAAACCTGGGACAGCAGGAGGTTGGTTATATATTTTTTGCTGCTGTCGATGATGATCACAGGCTGAAAGGAGAAGCGGTCTTTTTTTCCTATCTCCACTACCAGCTTGAATCGAAGAAGTAAAATGAAGACGATGAGGACAACAACAATTTGCCGTCGAGGTTGTATCGAACCTCAACATAACTTCTTGACAAGGGAGTGCTCTTGAAATGTTATGTACTCGCTACATCTATTGAAGGTGTCAAGACTAACAATTCTTTCGTATGAACAATGTCCCTTTGTCCTTTCACTTATGCTTGCTGCTTCCCCAACTATCTAACTTACTTTATCTGTAAGAAGTGGGATACTAAACACGGTTTGATTCAACTTAATGGTTTGGAAATGTTCTTCAATTTGACAGTTGAAATATACATCAAGTCCAATTATCAAATTGGAGAATTTCTGGTGAGTATTCTTTCTCTTATCTTGACATGCTGTATTCAACAAATTTTAACCACGAGCGAGTCAACATTTTGTCTGTCGTTGCGTTCTCCTGGCTGGGCATAAGGGAGCTAGCCCCGCGCTCCATTACTTCTTGTGACCATTCTGTGCACAGCATGTCATAAAGTGTGTACTGGATATTGGAAGAGAAGCTCGATCAGCGAAATTGTTCATGTTCTCATGTTTTGGAAAGATTCTGGACATCGACAAACGTCCGACAACCTCGGCTTCAATATATTTCTGAGCGGACCTTCCCATCATAATTCTAAGTGTGCAGATTCTGAACTTTTACCACAAATGTCGTACATTAAACTTCTTCAGGCAAATCCTACGCTCCCAAGATTACAGGTGCGAACACAGATCGCAATTTTTCAAATATATACGGCTAGAATAGAAAATATTCAGTAGAACATATGGCGTCACTTTGCAACTCATTCGTGTTTCATGAGCCTACAAGTGGAAATTTTCCTTGTTTTGTCCTTGAATTGAATAATCAGCATCACCATAAGGGTATCTGTGTCATTAGATATTTTCATTTGAGTCTACATTTCTTATGGCCTGAGACTGTGAGCTACAAGATGCAAAGTGGCTAAAAATTGGATGTGTGGGTGGCGTGACTGTACGCCGGGATGGAAGAAGCACTGCATACCTTATTCAGATCGATCATAAAAGCGCCTTTAAAGGAACATACTTTTTTAGACAAACGGTATAATCTCCAGTTTTGCTTATTTTTAAAAGATGGAATTATCAAGTCCGATTTATAAATGAATACGGTGCATAATCCTAAATTTCTTAGAAGTGTCAAACTAAAGAATGCGTCTTCCCAACACATCGCTGGAACGCGAAGACCACACGAATCAAGAGAAGCACGAAACATCGAACTCTAAAGGATCATACGAGCAACTCTACGTGAAGTACGCACTGTAGCTCGTAATATCTTTTGTAATGTATTTAAACTTTTTGATTCATGCTTATTTAGTGATGGAGGACTAATTTCCTTTTCGCACTTGGATCCTGCTATTGAATTGGACAAAGCCATGTCACTTCTGGAGCGTCGTGAGCTTGTACGTTATTTACTTAAAGAGTCTCACATATTGTAAAGCGCCACTAATAATTCGGCAATTATTTTAATCGAACAGGAGGTTCGGCAAGCTGCAGAGTATGGACTAGGACTATTGGAAGATAATGAGGAATTGCAAATGGAAGTGGCGACACTGAAGATTCAATTAGAAACTGAAACAAAAGAGCTCACAGAGCAGCGGGATATGTGGAAAAGTCAGACAGAACATTTACAACAGGAGATGGCACAGTGGAAGCGTAAATGTGCACGAGTAGAAGATGAATTGACGGATTTAGCCAAAGAATTTGAACATTTTGTTGATTGTTGTCAATGTCATGGATCTTCCTCTGCCACACGATACTCAGAATCGTTTGCGCGACTTCAGACTGAATTACAAGAACTAAATGCTGTCAAACGGTCAAATGAGGCCGAATTGTCGTTTTTGAGGCAGCGGAAAGAAGTGGCAGAACAAAAGCATCAAGAGGCACTTGAATGTGAAGCGTTAGCGACTCGAAGTGAAGTCTCGTACCGTAAAACGGTGGAGATAGAATTTGCCACATCGCAACGGGTTCTGAATGACGTTAAGAATGAAAAGAATCAACTGAGCAAATTGGTTCAAAATTACGAAGCAGAACTAAAGGAATTAAAGAAACAACTTAGATGTGCAGAAGCAAAAAGGGACGACACGCTTCTGCACAACAATGAGCTGAGCGAAGCTTTGCTGTCATCCGAGTCGCGATGTAAACGATTTCAGCGCGAGCTCGAACTCTTAGAGCACGTTTCGTACTTTGCACAGGCTAGTGTCGATCGCGACGACGAAGAAAGCGATGTTGATGATGAGACCATTAAAATTACGCAAGCTGAACTGGCTAAGTGTTCCAACAAGCCGCTGGACTCTGACAGTAAAATTGATACTGCTAGAAACACCTCTGATGATGAAGCTGTTCAGTCTCCAATAAGAAGCAAGCGGAGAAGACCTTTGCTGATGTCAACTATCTCGCCAAACTCATCATTTTCATCGAATGGTAAGATATCAGAGGCGGAAATAGAAACTCAGAAGAAACTCTACCACTACTTTCACTTGACGGCGCTGAGCATTATCAATGAAAACAACTTGCATGAACGTTGTTTTAATTCTTCAAGCCGTGTAACTATCGACATGTGGTATCGTGAAGTGATGTCAAAAGACGTTCCCTTCCTCTTGTGGCATTCGTGGCTAATCAAACGTATAAGTGACGTGGCTGCATCCGATCAAATAGGAGACAATGTGCTAAATCAACCGTCTACTTCAACATTCAAAGGCTCAAAAATTACTGGGTTTTGTGGATTTTCGCTTCGAAAGTCAAGTAATACCGATTCGGAAAACTCACTACCGTCATCTACAACACCGCCGGCGGCTCCGCCAGTAGTTCGTGTGCCGTTCACTGTGGCACGAGCATTTTTTTCTTTGCTTCGAAAGAATACACATCCAAGTGCTGGCTTATCACTAATTCGCAAAGTTTCGATTGACGGCTCGCCTGCCGGTTGAGCGCATCACGACCATGACTTAAATGAGGATTCTGAACACAAATGCAGCTTAGTGTTGATGCTTTCTGCTCTTTTACACGACAGCTATTCAGCACTGATCCCATCAAATGGATGCCTGTTATAAATACAACGACCATAAACCTCGCAGTTTCGCTGAAGTTTTAGTCATGATGTTAGCATTTAGAGATACTCGAATTTGAATGCCTTAGAATATTGTGGAGATGTATATCGCTGAATATAAATGAACTTTATATCACTCATGCCTTGGACTCAATGCTCTATTCGGTCCATCAGGAAATACCCAAAACTCAAAAGTAATGAATTCTAAGTAATATAACTGCTGACATACGCGACACTTGCCGTCCTGCTTCCAGATTTCCCCCAAAAGTATCACGCAAGATTTTGTTAGCATCACAGCCAGGTAAATTTAAAATATTAGGCTAGTCCAGTAAGTATTGAAATTATTAATCCTGCTCCCAATACTACCGCGAGTTTAGCAAGTTGATCAGGCAGGTGATGAAGTCTCTCGAGTCGGAAATCCTCACTGATATCCTTAAGCTTGACAATTGTTGCCAAAAGGAAGAAGTTTCCCAAATGCCCAAAAGCGAGCCCCGTGACTGAAATAATTCCATAGAACAAAACCATTGTTAGAAGAAATCCTTGAAAGGTCAATTTAAAACCGAGTCTCAGCGCTAGTGACGTATCCGGTTGTCCCATACGTCGAGCAAACGGTGCGTCTGTAGCACTTTTCAAAAGCAAAAATGCCCAAGTAAAATGCATAACAATATACGCGTACAGCACAACACTCCACGGTACTTCTGTTACAAGATAATACGATGTACTGAGCATTGAGACTGGCCCTGCTGCCCAGGCTATCACAGCTTCCCTTAGTCCCACAATTGGCAACGGCATATCACCACGTCGACAGCAAATAAATGCCAAAATTACTAATGCAATTATGCATCCAGTCACTTTGCTTTCTTTGGCACAGATGATGTGTGTCAATCCTATTAACATCAATTGAAAGCTCAAAAACAGATACGACCAACGGCGGACTTGAGTCAGCGAAAGTAGACTGAAATCAATTATAAAATTATTAAATGCAAACAATGTTGACAAATAACTCATTAGTGCGTACTTTAAAACAATCTTGGCGTCGGTGGTTCCACTGTTTTTCGGCTGCAGCGTACGTTGAAAATTACTATATATGGTGTTAAGATTCCAGAGCAATTGTGTCACTATAGCGCAGCCCAGAACGGTAAGGACGTCCAGCTGTATCAATGAGATACTGTGCGATTTATGCACAAGACTAACAACCATAAGCACTGGATACGCGGAGGCAAACAATGTCCGGGGACGTAAAGCACTTCGGACGCTTTTGCGGTACTCCATCTTTTGGACTCGAAAAAAATCTTTAAAGATAAAATGAGAAGTTTTTTATGGTTGGAAAATCTAGGCGACAAATTGTGATGAAATAATTCAATATATAGATCCGTTCAGACCAGGGTAGCTTGATGCCTCATAGTGGCTGCTCGAGGCATCTGCGACAAAACTCGCAACGAATTTGCCGCGTACCGTGCACAGAGAAAGCTCCTGTTAAAAGTTCGGCTTAAAGCATACGTTGCGCGATCAAACTCCGGACCACGGGACCTAGATATATTCACTTCCAAACTTGCCTTATACTCCTCACTTCATCTTCTCGACAGGTTATGAGCCCGAATGACTCCGACGACGCACCAAGCGCACCGACTCCAGTCAGCTTCGGCGCCGGCCACGAAAGGGTCAACATCTCAAGCAACTGTGGAAGACACGCCGACCGCTCAGGGAATGAGCGACGACGTCAACGCAAAAATTCTCGCCACTCCTCTCGGCCTCCAAGCAAGGATGACGCAGATGGAAACCTCGCAAGTGAAGCATTGTAAGGACGAGCGTATGCTTGGAACAGTTGGTCTGGGATGTTCCACTCTGTCCTTGGCAACGGCCGAGGGGGTATGCCGATGCACATTGACGCGCTAAGCCATTCGCCCATGCGGCAGGGGAAGGTCAAGGCCGCGCATACGCGCAACGTACGCATGGGGCAGAAGGACAACCTGCAAGGTCGAAGTGGAATGCTCCGCACGGCGAATTGCCACAGCAGACCCGGTTCCACTCGCCACAGTATGCTGCGGCACAGGGCATGCACGACTTATGGAGCCAGTCGCGCAGCAAACGATACGTGAGCCAGATGAGCGTCAGCGCAGACTCACGATCCGCAAGTTCGACGGGACTGAGCTGTACCGAGGTCTGGGCGCTGGGTCTCTGGGCTGGGGCTGGACCTCCATGCGCTAAATCCAGTATGTGAAAGCATCAAGTGGCGTTGTCTGGTCAGAAGATGTGAAGGCCGACGTGCTCGGTCGCTACTTGAGTGGGAGGACTGAGCGGTACTATAACAAGCTGGTAGAGACTTGGTGGCGCTATTGCCCGACGCTAGACCATGCTATGGAGCGACTTCACCAAACGTTCAAGACGACGATCTTTGGGTCACAGTCAATGAGACTATTTACGGCGAAGAAAGACCTGGTTCAAAAACTACCTGCACTTGGCGGCAGTAAGCGATGCGCGCGGAGGAGTGCTCGACAACATTGTCCACTATGCGTCTAGTGAGCTGCGCACGGTACTAATGGCAAAGAACGATGCCAGGCGCCTCGGTTTCCTCGTTCAAGCTGAAGAGCTCGCGCATTTCGCACAGTCTGTCGAAATTATACGAGAGATCTTGCTTCGTTTGGAAAAACGTCGTTGCAATCATCATTAAGAGAGAACCACGCGTCGAGACACGGGCGTGCTTTGATAGCGGCAAGGTTCGGCACATTTCGGTTGCTTGCCACCACGAGAGAAAAAATAAAGAACACGATGGTTCCGAGAGTGGCTGGAGGAGAAACGCCAAAAAAGGCAGCTGAAAATTACATGCAGGATAGCGTCACCTGGATCTTGGACAGCAAGTCGAGCCGGCATCTCGTAAACAACGTAGCACTATCGGAAAATGCTCAAGAAGACCAGTAGCTGATGGCAAAATGCTTTAGCTGACGCTGGTTGGTAGCGTATCGTTTCGGGTAATGGCGCTTGGCAAGCCAAGCATCGTTTGCCTAACGGACGTCTACTTCGCACCAATGCTAGCGCGCAACATTCTGTCGCTTGGCAACCTGGAACTAAAAGGATATGGGCTCCAGTTTACGAATGATCAGCGAGCAATCAGATCGCTCAAAGCCGGTGAAGTCGTTTTTGATATGGCAATGAAAAACAACGTGCTTGTTGTAGAAGCACAAGCCAAACACGAAAGCGTCAGCAAGGCTATACCCATCGTGGTATGGATCGCTAAGGTGAAGGAGCGCTGAGAAGACGTGCAGCGTGGAACACTCATGCATATTTATCAGCGTTTCGGGCACATTCCGTCCGACACAATCGAGAGGTTGGCGCTCGAGCCTGACTCTGAAATTCAGTTCATGGACTGTCGAAGCATGGTGTGCGTCACGTGCGCCCAGAGCAAGCAAACCAAAAACGCGCAGACAGAGAAGACATGGGCGCGCACTCCCCGATCGATTGCATCGGTGGTGTGATTTGCTCGGACCTTAAGGGACCGATGACACCAAAGGACCGACTTGGGAATCGGCACTTTGTCGATCATGAGAGCACTTACTGCCGCGTATCCCTGGCGTGCACCAAGGATCATGCGGCGATAAGGTTCAAGGAATTCCTTGTGTTCTTTGAGAAGTATTTCGACTGTCGCGTTCATACACTACGCATAGATGGAGGCGGTGAATATAGGAACATCGATTTGATCTGCAAGTCCGTAGGCGTGTCACGGCAGGTGAGCGAAGCAAGGAAACTAGCATCAAACGGCAAGGCAGAATGCATGCACCGGATGGATCTAAACATGTCACGCTCTATTGTTTTTGCATGCAAGCTCCCGCTAAATTTCTGGAGAGATGCGGTGGAGAATCGGCCTACATACTGAATCGCAGTCCCACGAGCTCGAATGCCAACCAAGCATCACTAATCGAGATGCTAACAAGTCTAGCACTCGACCTTCGAGACATAGTCACTTTCGACTCAGTGTGCACAGTTTATCGTGACTTGAAAAGGAACTCTTCTGCGCATCGGACCCAGATTGGTATCATCGGGGGTTGCAGTGGCGAGACCAAGGGATATCGCGTGTTCATACGCAAGGCCAATGTCGTGATCGTGACCCAACACGTCATGAATATTAAGGCATTCTTCGACGAGCAAATCGAACAGTTACGCTATATAGCAGGAGCTGAGGAGGAGATGACGTCGGATATCCGGGTTGTAGCAAAAGGTAGAATTGATCAGCAATTGTGTGTACGCGCGTCACATACTACACGAGGGGCTATCAAGCGAGCGGTACAAGACACAAAAGAAGTGACAAGTGATGTAGCAGCTGTTATGCAAGTTTACGAATGGTTGATGATGTCTTGCAGGAAGTGAATGTAGTCTATCCAATACCAGACATCGAGTTATATTGCTGTGAAGTCGGTGACGCTGGCCGAAGCTGTAAAGCTAGCAAAATCTGCTACTCAAAAGCGATGAAGTAGTTTAACTTAGGGCAGATATAGTTCCAGCAGGCCAAAGGAGCTCAGAAATATGTGAGAGCCTACGCTATCCGGTCGGTGAGCAAGCTTGTCTCGTCGTCTATCTTCCTTGACGACTACATCAAGTGAGAAATCCACTGTGGGGAACTTCAAATCCAAGGCAACAGTGAATACGCTTGGAGCATAAGGAAGGAGTGTTTCAATGTTAAATGTTTTTAGAATGTAAAGAGCAATTGAAAGCCCAAATACTATGTTGCAAGCCCATTTAGACTCTTGCATTCGTAAATAATATTCTTATCATGAGTTTCTGTCTGCAAATGCCTGTTGGCTAGCATCTAAAAGTTTGTAGGATGCAGTATCGATCTGCTGGGTCTTTTGCCGGAATATCTAGAAAGGCGGCCATCGGCGGATTTGGTTTTTGATTTCAGATTTGAACTGGATTTCGGGTATTCGTAAACACCATTGAAAATTTAATATTTATGGCACAATATAGAGTTAGTGAAGCCAACCTTCTCGTCTCGTCGGCATGCATAAGAAAAGTGTCAAGTGACATCACATTAGATCAGCACAATGCCAAGCCTGTATCGTCCCCCTTAATCGCGAAAGTAACAAGCTTAAGAGCTAGATAAAACTTATTGCATAATTTTATAACTGATACGATCGGGGAGGGCGGAGTGTTAGAAGTTTGGCTTAAAGCATACGTTGCGCGATCACAATTCGGGACCATGGGACGATATTGTATGATTGCGCCCGCGATGGCGCGATATAATTGCGCTGGAACGATATGTATAATTGCAAACACGATGACGCGAGCGTAAATCCATGAGTTCTCGTAGCTCTGCTAACTTATGCTGATCTAACGCCTTAGTAAACATATCTGCGAGCATGAGCTCCGAGCGGACGTAGCGCATCCCTCACACGCCTCGACGAGCCTGATCTCTAACAAACTTGACATGCACATCAATGTGTTTATCTTTTTTAACTGTAGTCTCTCCTTCGATCTGACCAATTTGCGTCTGGTTATCAACATGCATCAGCGTAGGCTGAGCCGGCGCGAGTCCCACCTCTTTGAGCATATCTTTAATACCGAGGAGCTCGCGTACCGTCTCAGATGCCGCGACAAATTTGGATTCCATAACGTTTGCCGATACCATACTGTGCTCACGCAACAGCTCAACAATAGCCTCATCCTCCTGATCGAGATCATATGCGTGTGCGTCGCGTGCCGTGACTCCTAAACCGAGTAGCTTTGACACTGGTCCAAGATTCTTACTTGAAAAGAAGCCAATGGAATGAAGAAGCGCTCGACGGCTGCGGCTGTGGTTACTGTAACAAAGAGATCTTCGGCGTAGACGCCAACCAATGTCAACTATTTTTCGTCGCGCTTGAAGTAAGGGCACATGTCACTAATGCACTGCTCGAAACCAGCGTCCGAGAGTCTTGCGTGTAGCAGCTGACTCCATAATCATCCCGCATGCTTTAATCCATACAGGCTCTACTTTAGCTCGAGCGCTACTTCATTTGCATCGGTCGCACCAAGTTACTTTAACTGTTCATCTTTAATGTCCATACCGCTTGGCAGATGAAGAAGGTTCTCATGGTTCTTTTCCTTGTCAGCTTTGACGTAGGAGTTCGAAATGTCACCATGCTTTGCCGGCACCCCTCACGTCCATACAAGTCTTAAGAGCATCTTTACCGTCGACATATCCATGACGGCTGCGAAAGTGAGCGTATAATCTATGCCGAAAACTTGCTCATTCCCGCAAGCAACCAGACGCGTCTTCAGACGTTCCACCGCATCGCTCGTATCCGTTTTGGTCTTGGATAGCCACTTTCTGTGCAACATTTTGGCCCAAGCTGGTCGCTTGATCGCACTCCAGACGCCGTTGTTTTCAGAGCTAGGATCTTCGCAAGCATTGCCTTTCTCCAGCCTTCAGCTTTCGAGCTGCACATTGCCTCAGCGTGTGTCGTTGGGTCAGACCTGCAACCGCACAGATAACATCAAGCATGAGCGTGCTTACCAAACTCTTCCTTCAGAATGGCATCTTAAGCAAATACGATTGAATAGATCTGGCGTGGTGACAGCTCTCGATAAAGTTTCCTCCAATTTGGTTCATACCTTTGGAAAGAGCTATATAAAGGGGCAGCTCATCGATCCAAGGTTGGGGTGACTGAGATTTGTTAAAAAGGTTAGATATAGTCGAGCTGTCTCAGACTCTTGCTAATAATCTTGGTGTTCTCGCATTGGGCAAAAGGGTGACCAAAGACTTCTCAGATTGATGATTTATGTTAAATGCGATGCTTCAGAAGATCAAACGAACAAGAAAAATATTCTTCGCAGTGTAGTTACAGCTGCGAATAGAGTGCTACCTTTTCACACTGTCTACTGATACATCAAACACAAATCTTTTTGCGTGTGGTAAACGGTCGAATTCCACGATGGAATTTTTTCAGAAACCTGTCACTCATTTATCGGATACAGAAGCTAAGCCGCGAAAGCAGCACCAATGTTCTGTTAGACAAAAGCCTGGTTTGATACGAGGCCTAAGCACTAAACCGCAAGCGTCCATAAGGAAATTAAACACATGATTCAACAAGCGCCATTTGATGCGGACCATCATAATTAAAGGTGTTTTCAGATTTTTTTTGCTTTTTTTGCTTGTTTCTGCTTGTGCTTACTGTTGTGCGCCGTCTTTGACTCGTGAATTGCCCAACTGTCGTACATTGTCTTCAGTAAACTGTGCGACTACTCTGAATGATCAGCCATAAAATCTTACTTCAACGCTCATACTTGAAAGCAATGTCTTTGTAGCTTGATGCCCACACTAATTACGACGCACAAAAAACAAAAAAAAACATCTTCCCAGTTTCAGCTTACGAGCACCTTGCTTTGATTTGAATGAATCCTAAGACGATAAATGTCATAACTGGTGTGAAGGGCAAGTATTTTGATCACTTTTACTCAACCCTTGTACAATAAATAAAATTGTAGCTCTTTCAATACCGTATAACTATATGAAGGTTACATTACCCTATGTGGAATTGTGAGTACTTATTAGCACTGAAATATCGGATTTTATGAAGAAAAGGTAAATCCAGAAAGAGGACCCAAGGTTCACGTTCGCACATTAAAACCGGTCAGTGTTATTGATAGAAATAGCAACACGAATATATACAGTACATATCCGTCCGTGTTAGGATATATTCATGATTCTAGTTATAAAGATAGCACAACTTTTTAATGTATGAACTTTGCCAAACGTAGAGCAATTAATATCTTGAGTTATCTAAGAGGCTCTCGGTTCCACTCTTTATAGAAGGTCGTTGATATTTACCATCAGCAATCAAATGCTGTGAGCACTACTCTTTCAGAGATGTTTGCTCCTTGAGAGGTAGATCTCATTGGCCTCAACCTCCATGGAATATAATAGAATCCAGTTGTTTCCCAGGAGACGCTGGGTGGCTACTGGGAAAATACCTTTTTCTGTGCTGCATTCCTTGTCGCACCCGCTTGGAAATCTGATATTTGTGTCTATCGGTCAATGGGGAAGGGGGCTCGCAAGGTGCATATATCTTGTAAGCTACGAGATCGCTCTTTTTTCCTTAGGATGTCTGATCTTCACCGCCTCTGGCGCACTCGTGGCGCTTACATTCCTAATTCCACCCGCCTTTCGTGGCAACAAATTGCGCTCCGCATTGAATGCGACGACTACCATTATCTTGAATGAGGTAGAGCGCGAAAGTTTTTTGGCGCAAGCCGCACCGTTCGTATACCCTCAGCGCCTCCAGGTGAACGATGACATTTTTTTAACCCTTTAACCGCCAATATTCGATCCCATCGGTACATATTATAGATATAATCTTGTTAGGCTCGATGGCAGGTACTCAACCAAATCATTTTCTATCCCAGCAGGTGGATACGATCATTTCACGCCTCGTTCGTTGAATTAATGGCGAGTGCTACCAAATTTCACGGGATCGCTGTGCACTTTGTACAGAGGAGACTTTGATTTTTAGAGTCCGCGTTATAGAGGCACAGAGATTGAGTTCGTTACTAGCCCTCAGTCCTCAAAGCTTGATATAATTAAGGTGTGGCGGAAAAGGCAATCTGAAAAGGCTTTGCGAAAATACGTTTTGCGTGCCCCGATTCTGGCACTTCCAAATCCGTTGACTCTTCAAAGTAGTCCATGACGTTTCCAGTTTTCTGTAATAGGCTGCGTTGTGCTTCAGGAAGATATCAGTGGGCATGAAAGCGTTGTTCAATTTGAGTTTTGCAAGCCTAA